ACTCCGGCGCCATGCGGGGTAATTCCGGCGCTGACTTTAAGTGCTTCAGCCAGGCTCAGGCCATCGGGCTGAAGGGGACGTTCCGAGCATTCCTGTCTTCCAAACTCCAGGACATCCACAGCATCGTCCACAGGGACGACAGGGAAAACGTGCCAATAGTGAACCTGAAGGTAGCTGAGCTGAACAGCTCCACGTTAAACCTCTATCGAGAGTTTGTGTTTGGCTGATTGTTGTGTGACTGTTGACAGGATGAGGTTCTGTTTGATAACTGGAACGCCATCTTCAGCGATGGCAGGATGAAGGACAACGTTTCTATCTACTCCTTCAATGGAAAAGACGTTGTCAGAGACGATACCTGGTGAGGAGATGATCCAAATGTAGAGATAACTCAACCAAAGCGTCTCTATAGCTGTTGTTTCTTTTTTGAGGCCGGAGAAGATGGTGTGGCACGGGTCGACCAATGGAGGTCAGCGACACCTCGACAGCTTCTGCGAGTCGTGGCGCGTGAGCGATCGGGCGGTGACGGGCATGGCCACGTCGCTGAAGAGCGGCAGCCTGACGCAGCAGACCTCCAGCAGCTGCTCTAGCTCCTACGTGGTGCTGTGTGTGGAGAACAGCTACATCGGCCACGCTTAAACACACACACACACACACACGCACACACACACACACACACACACACACACACACACACACACACACACACACACACACTGATCCGTCTTTACAGGCTATTTGTAAATATGATTGTTAAAGATTTTGACTATGTTGACCCCTCCTACATGGTGCTACACAGAATCAATCCACATGTTGAAGTTTTAGTCTCAAAAGCAAAGTAGACACACCGTAATCGCCTGATCTTCCATTAAATCTTGTTTACAGGCGCCACCATTTTGTACTTTTGTCTGCACTCTGTGGGTCCGAAAGTCCCGCCTACCCACGCTCACCCCTCCTTATTGAATAGTTAATTATAGCTACCTAAGGAATGTCTGAAAACACAGAGCAACAAGGTAAGAACAATGTGAATCAACAGAATCTGAAACTTGGAAAAAGTCTGATCCCATGGAGGGGGCGAGGCTTAAACGTACGACTTTGAACTGTGGCTTCACTCCAAGCAGTATTTGTGCTACTGGATGTAACATTCAGATTTTATTTCTGAACTTATAAAGTGTGAGTTGTTTTTATTAACGTGTGTTTTCACTCCTTTACACAGTTGACTGTAACATCACGAGGATCATCCTTTACAAGAGAGGATGTTTTTACCGATAACAAAGTGATATTTATTTTTATAAACTGCTTTTTTTTTTACTCTGACTGTAACGTGTGATGTGAGTGCCTTCACAGGTAGGAGTTTGTGCACACAGCAAGTATAAATAAATGTATGTACAGAAATCTGACAAGGATTTAGCCATTAAATGTGTTGATCAGGTTTATCTCGTTACTTCTGCTGTAGCTGGTCTGTATGATGGCAGCAGGTTGGAATGTGGGTAAATAAACCTGTTGGAAACATGGTGTTGCTGCTCATTTTAAAGAGGAGAATGATTTTAACACCTTATACTGACCCAGGTGTTATTGTTCAACATTCATGTGTTGATCAACAAACAACAGGCTGGACTCCACCATTCTAGCTAGCTAAACTTCAAAGGTAAGTGTATTTGCTATTTTAACTTGCTTCTTGCTCGGTCCATGCCCTTATTGTCCTTTTTATAAGCCTTTTAAGTTACAACACCTTGGTTTGGAGGACCAAGAGCTCCTCAGTGGACAGAAACAAGAAATATTAAATACTTCCATCCATAATTCCATCTTTAAAGGGAGACTAGGCAGTTTTGGCTTGCTTTAGCTCCCCCTAGTGTCAATTTGTAGAACCAAAAGCAAAACTTATCTCCTTGCTGTGCGTTCGTCTTTTTAACACCGTAATCTAACAGCTGAAATGTGTCCCCAGCCTTCATTAGTGTCTACAGGAGTGATTCATCGCTAAATAAAAAATAAGCTTTGTGCATGATGTGGAAGCAGACTGCAGTAAGTTCCAAGACAAGACCGGCAATCTGAAGTAGCGAGTAGAATATTCTGTCCAAAGGGGGCGTTGGGGCTGGGTGGCCTCTCATTAACCCTAATAAGGGCCATTTCAGCGCATACGGCTCAAGAAAAAATATTTAAAAATATGAAAATTTGCAAAGTACCCCTTTAAAAAAATCATATAATAAAGATTTTACATTTAATAAAAGCATAAAAAACATAAATTATTGAAAATAAAAATGAGTTTTTAACAAAGTTTTTAACTGAAATTATTATTATTATATCATATTATGCGGCTCATGTCATCACTTTATAAGCCTCGTGATACCTAGTCATAACAAAGACGACCAGATTCGATTACGTCATCCTAGAGAATCTGAACCAGACACACGCACTCACACACACGCACCAACACAACATCCGAATCCATTCTCATCCATCACAGAGTAGTCCTGGTAGATTGTTTAGAATTTATAATTCAGAAATTAAAGATTCTCAAACGATCCCATCTCTCTCTCTTTTATTGTCTCAAAGTCAATACAGAGTGTTTAATTAAACTCCCTGATGATAAAAACAGCCTATTCTTCTGTTTATAAAAAGTGAACTACTAACACTGTATTAAAATACAACTTTGGTTAGTTACATCACTTTGATTCCGTTACACAGTACATCAGGAATTACTGTAAATGTCAAAAACTCAAAGCAGTTCATGGTAAATCATTTTACAACAGATACACACAAATAATGCATGACTGAGAATAACGCCTTTTATTTCCATATGTATATATACACGTATGTACACATATACTACTTCATAGCAGTGTCCCGTGTAAATTTCCCTTAAAAAATTGGTTTAAAAATAGTTTGATTCAATATCAAACTAAGAAAAAGCAAAAGAGTTCAAAAGTACAACTTTGTTAGAAACAACCAGCACATAATTAAAAGTTATTGACAAATTTGAGCTCAACAATGAAACGGAGACATAATAAGCAAAGTGTGTAACTAAAGTCCTGTCATGGCCAAAAGGCTTGCTAAATACTATTTATTACTAAAGGCAAGGTAGCATTATTTGTATAGCACGTTTCACACACAGAGGCAATTCAATGGGCTTTCCATTAACGAGAATAGTGAGAACAGTACAAATGAACACGACAGCACAATTAAAGAACAAAAATAGATTAAACCAGAAAAAAAGGCAAAGGTAAAGTAAGTCAGTGCAAAAGGTGCAGCATAAGAGACTTTCATTCAAAGGCTGATGAATACATGGAAGTTTTCAATTTTGATTTAATAGTTACTAGAGTTGGGGCAGATTTGAGGTCATGAGGAAGCCGGTTCCATCTGTGAGCAGAAAAGCAGCTTCACCTGTTTGGTTCTGACCCGGTTCTACCAGCTGACTGTTTCCTAAGGATCTCAGAGCCCTGCTGGGTGTGCATACAGAAAGGAGATCAAACATGTATTTGATCCCATGCCATTGAGTGATTTATAATCTAGTAGTAGCACTTTAAGAACAAGAGTGACGTGCTTGGTTCTCTTGCTCTTGTTAAGACTCTAGCAGCAGCATTGTGAATACGCTGCACTATAAAGCTATCAATGTGATTAAACTTTAAGTCCCACTATTTCACACGGGTGTGTGAAATTTGCTATCCACATTTGACCCATCCCCTGGGGAGGCGGTAAGCTGCAGCAGTGGCTGCGCTCGGGAACCATTTGATGGACGTTTAACCCCCCAATCCAATGCCTTAATGCTGAGTGTCAAGAAAGGAGGGTCTCATTTTTGGAAAGTCTTTGGTATGACCCGACTGTGGATTTGAATCCATAATCTGCCAGTCTCAGGGCGGACACTCATAACACTAGGCCACTGAGCTGGCCTAGTGGGTGCTGCTAGTAGGGGTATTGGACAAGAGTCTGGTTGCTATAGCAACATTAGCACTGCTTCACAATAGTCAATCAAAACCAATGAAACTAGTTCACAGTGTTCTTTTAAATAGCCTGAGATAATCTATTAAATAAAACAAGGAACTGGGTCCCATGATCATTTGAGGAAACTGTTCCTGATGTTCTGGTCTCTTACTTCCTCAGAACCCTGGCCCACATCATGTGCACCTCCTAGAGGCACCATTGAGAGCACTTAGTCCAGCAGCATCACTGTGTGGTATGGCACAATCACGTCCTGCTGCTTAGTGAGAGCTGCAGAGATGGTCGTTAGTGCCCCTCCTCCCACCCACCAGCTTATGATTCAAGTTGATCACGACTGAACAGAACCGACTGATGCCCACAAAGTCGCAGCACACAATGTTGACCCCCTCCCCTTCAGGTCCAGGTCGCTGCTCGGCGGTCCATTTGAGCAGTGGCAAAAGCGCCTTCATCGTCATCGTCCTCAAGCTCTGGAGAGGATGGAGGAAGATGTAAAATGCATTCTCTGTCAGGTTCAGACCGCAGACGTAAAAACCATCTGGGGAACCAAATGGAACAAGACACTGTTAAAGAAGTCACCAACTCAACCGTTTAGATTATATCTATCAAGATTGATGAGCTAACGGCTAGTCTGAGGACCAAAGGGTGTTTCTGTCATCTTAAAACATCACTAATCTACTAAAGCTTATATAAAACCAGATTAGATAGTTTAACTTGAAGAAAATGTTCAACTTCTTTCTTCTCTTCAGCTTCCGACGGCCGCGGTTCCATCAGCTGTGAGGGTAACAAGCGTGTGATGATTGATTTGGACCTAATTTATTGGAGCTCTTGGGGCTGTTTTTTTAAACAGCAGCAACACAACATAGTCTTGGCTGCAATCAGACTAGCTGGTCATTTCGTTTTAATGTATGTTTAAAGCCCCTTCCGCAACCCACGCAAATGCCCAAGGTGCTGAACACAACACAGATAAAACATGAAACCATCAAATAAAACGTAACAATCATAAAACCATTATAGAAACAGTAAAAGAGAGAAGTTGGAATAGACAATAAGATACAGCAAAAGGAATAAGAGGCCGGGGCAACAAAACCAGGTAAAAAATGCTAATCCTGGAATGCCTCGACATAAAAGTGAGTCTTCATGCGAGTCTGTTTGATGCATCAATCCACTTATAAATAGCAGAAATGCTTACGTTCTAAAATTATTGAAAATGTCCCTGAGTGAAAACCAACCTGGTCTTCCCTGGTGTATCTTTGCATCTAGATAATCGATCACCGTCTTTGGATCTGGGCTATCGGCGTACCTATAGAGAGAGCGCCCCCATGAGGACAGGAAGTTCAGTGTTACAGTATCACAGCTGACTCTGAGATGAGAGGAGATATTACAAGATACCAGTAAGGGATCCCAGACCACAACTCAGGATGCTGCTGCACCACCTGCTGGTTGTCATAGGCGACAATCACCTGCTGACCTTTGGACCAACAGGAATGCAGAGTAGAAACGTACTGCATATCAGGAGGGCACAAAGGGTCAGATTTTACAGTCGGTTAGCTCAAAAACCCTTTGAGACAATTTTTAGAAAAAGTTCTTGTAGTAATTTAGTCTCAGTGTGTCCAAATGACATTTCAGTTTGTTTGGATTTTCTTAAAGAAGCATTATGGAAGTTTGACAGCCAAAACATGTATAGAAACAATAAATTTCTTCTTCATACATTCTCCTGCAATACCCTGGTCCTGTAGAATGAGCTCTGGCATTTTTACTGTGATTGCCTGTTTTTCTGTAAAATCACAGAAAAAGAGAGATGCTCGGGTCGAGCAGGCTGCTTCATGCGCGTTCACACTCAGGCATAGCCCGTAGCATTTGCTATCCGTAGCTTTCGCTGTTCCTAATGCCTAGTGATGAACCTAGCTACATTTCTGAGGACCCTTAGCTACTTTCTGTAGAACTTTCTTCTAGATATTTCCTGCAAATTAGCAACAAAATAGCCATTTTCGCTCCGAACCGTTCTTTGAACGTTGTTTCAGCTGTCATCAAGGATATAAATTTTACAGCTACAAAGGACATCACTGGCGCTTAAGCTCGCCTAGTAAGACGTCGGACTCCAGAGCAGAAGACCTGGGTTTAATTCTGGATGTGAACATAGTTTATTTGGAGTTTTTTTTACATTAATGTATATTTTTGTACAGTAAGATGCCCAATTTTTTATTTGAGACTCGCCGAACGGCATTGAATTCACAGATAAAAAAAGATGTGGGTTCAACTTTCATTTTGGAACAATTTTTCAAGCAAGGGAAGGGAATGATCTGAGCATGCAGGAAGACTGACCCATCATAAACCTTTGTCGGCTGTGCTGAAGAGAAAGGTACAGAACCAAATTATTCAATTAATTAGCTGCACGTTCTCCTGTCCTCCGGGCCACACGCACACACACACACACACACACACACACACACACACACACACACACACACACACACACACACACACACAAGGGACTGTCTCGGCTGTTATTTTCATTAAGGAGTGTGCACGTACAGCATGCGTGCCTCGTGGACGAGCCTACTATTGAAGCTGCCGTTACGCTTTTGGCCTGAGGGGGGCAATCGCGAGCATAAAAATTCAAAACTACGTAAAGTCCCTTTAAAGAGACATTTTGTTCTAGAATTTTACGCGAGAGCCAAGCCCTTCAATTCCCGTGAGGTGATCCAGAAGCCGAGGCATTCTGGATTACCTCAAATGTCATTTCTAATGTTTTGTCACCATCATGCAAATTTCTAGTTTTGTACCTGTGGGGAGAGGAGCTTCCTGCCGAAGAGAGAGATCATGAACTCCACCAGATGTCTGTGGTCTTCATCAGTCAGAGATTGAAAGTGAGAGCAGGAAAGGATGACGACCTCTTTAGGATGAGCGTCCAGCCACGTGTCGAGTTCACCCAGAGCCTCCTACATTATAAACACACCAATCAGCCAGAAAAATACACGAGACTAACTAGAACTCATTAGAATTACCTTGACCGTCATTAGTGTGTAGATGCCGTGGGCAAAGAAGAGTTTGCTGCTCCCTGCGGGCTTCTTGGCGATCCGCAGGTCTAAGAACCGAATTCCCAGATCACACTGATCCCTGAGGATGGATTGCTGCACCCAAATAGAGCAAATTTCTTATTAGGATTCATCAGTAAATAGATTGTTTTGTTTGTGGAGATGAACATAAAATACTGATATTTAATTACTTCCAAATACACAAATATTCACTACTTCTTTGGACAAAAACCAGGAAGAACCAAGTATTAGATTGAATGAAGAGGTCTTTGATGAACTGTGAACAATTGTGGCATTTGAAAATCCCTTGTGGTGTCCCCCAAGGGTCAGTATTTGGTCCCAAACTGTTTATTGAGCAGTAGCTCAACAGGTAGAGCGGGCTGTCCAGTAATCGGAAGCTTGCAGGTTCAATCCCGGCTCCGGACAGAGAATTCTGCTGTTGGAGAATTCTGCTGTTGGAGAATTCTGCTGTTGTGTCCTTGGGCAAGACACTTAACCCACCTTGTCTGCTGGTGGTGGTCGGAGGGACCGGTGGCGCCTGTGCTCGGCAGCCTCGCCTCTGTCAGTGCGCCCCAGGGCAGCTGTGGCTACATCGTAGCTCATCACCATCAGTGTATGAATGTGTGTGTGAATGGATGAATGATACACTGTAGTGTAAAGTGCTTTAGAGCCTTACTCTGAGAGGCGCTATACAAGTGCGGGTCATTTATAATTTATTATGTACATCAGTGACTAATGCAAAGTAAGTTTCATTTACAGATTAAACAAATGTGTTTTACTCAGGACATAATTTGGTTTTGGAATACTGGAACAGAGACACAATAATAATTTCACTTCAACGAGGCAAATGTAAACGAGGTGGCTGAAATCAACACTTTTATGGTAAAAAGTAAACAAAAAACATGAAAACCTCAAAAGTGTCAAGAACATTATTGCGATTAAACTAAGTTAAATATACTGTTAAGTAGTAGTTCTCCCATCTCTAATAATTATACAAGTACAAACAATCAACAAGCAGGAAAATTTTCAGCAGGTTTCCAGTCAAAGGGAACTGGGTTAATTGTGGTTTTCGAAAATTCAAAGAAGTTTTTGGTAATTTGTATATTTTGTGGACGTTATGAAGAGACCAAAGAATATCCAGTAAATAATTGCATAAAAAGAGATACAGGTGTGATTTTAGCTGATGTAATTAACCTTTTTGTTTTTTATTATGATTATTTTCACATTTATAGAAATATAAATACAATACAGCTGTTGTAAATAAATAAAACACCAGGGGAACTTGCACTTTATGTAGAAGAGGTGGGACTGAATCCATTTATAGTTACTTCTCATCCCTTTCCTGAGATGTAGATACATATAAATTCTTTGTTCAAAACTTTCTTTTTTATTGAACTTGTATTATTTTAATAATATTTTCTAGTTTAGAGCTGTACTTTGCCAGTTAAGTTTATTTAATTTTAGGTAATAACAGATTTACACGTATGTAAATAACAACAGTGTAGAAAAACAGAAGTTAGTTTCTGATTCACAAATGAATAAAGACTTTGATTCTTATATTTCTGACCATCTTTACTAAATTTTGACTGTATAACTACTGAGTGTTCAAACATTATATTATACTTTTTAAAGTCCGTTAAAATGTGAGCGCTTTAAAGCTTAAAGAAGTTTTATGGTGGTCCTGTAGAAAAGCAGCAAAATGCTCAAACCTTAGACTTACCAGACAAAAACTGTGGTTAAGAGATAGTGGTTTTAGTGCAGAATTATATAATTCTGGTTTGAACTGTTTAAATGTTGGGAGTTTTTCAGTCAAGCTGGTAATAAAAAGCGGAATCGTCCTTTAACCAAACTGAAGCCAACTTCAGCGTTGTAGGAGGACAAAAACAAATAAACCTGCCGCACCTGTCCGAACAGTTCTGGGACCTGGGGCGTACCTGTGTGGCCGACCAGCGGTAAATGCAGGGCCGGGTCCAGCAGGGGAAGAGCCGGTCGACGAGTCTGAGGAGGAAAGGCTCCGATCTGACGATCGGGGAGGAAATGTCCAGGCAGAAGGCCATGCTGTCATGGCTCCCTGTAGGAGTTATCAGTTTCAGCATTTAAGGATTTGTATTTGAGGTGCTTAAAAAGTTATGGATGAGTTGTTACCGGGGATGGCCAGGTTCCACAGCGGGACATCCAGCAGCTCTTCCGGGAGAAGGGACATCCAGTCCGCGTGTCCTCCGACCAGCGACGTGTCCTCCATCTCTAGAAATATTCACCCTGTCTCACAAACTCAACAGTAAGCTTTATTATTCATATTTGTTCCAGAAACGACGTACAAACTTCTCCGCATAATTAGTCCTTTTCCGGGTTTAAACTTCAAAATAAAAGCCGAACAAAGAGAGTAACAAAGACTAAGTTGGATCAGATTTTTTAACTTGAATGTTTCGTTTCGTTTTATTGAGATCCTCATTCGCTTCTGCCTTAATGCAGATGCTAGTCTTCTTGGGGTCTCATACATTTTCATACAATGATTTACTTTACACGCACACGCGCGCGCGCACACACACACACTGTATGAAGTATACATAATGTATTTAACGTATTATTGTTTCTTAGAACAGGTATTGTTATTGCTAATCACTGGTATTTAGATTTCTGAAAACACTTTCCCCCATCGTTTATCAATTATTTTGATCTATGTTTGGCTGAAAATGAATTTCCATCGTGGATTTTTACCTTTTACACAGAAAACTGGCTACAGGATCCATTTTGACTGAAAAAATGAATCAGCTTTAATCAGAGGTGTGGACTCGAATCACATGACTTGGACTTAAGTCAGACTTGAGTCATTATTTTAATGACGTCTGACTTGACTTCATAAAATCTATAAAGACTTACTTACGACTTGACTCGGACTTGAACGCCAATGACTTGTGACTTGAATTGACTTGCATCTGTTGACTTGATGATGACTTGAGCATTTTTGATATTTTGGCAGAAAAGTGGCACGGCATGGACACAAATCATAAATCATTCTTGGTTCTGGGTTTGATTTACTGCTAAATGCAGCAGCACTTTGTTTAGAATCAGTTTCAGTTGCACTTTCTGCTTGTTTGAGCAAATAAATGAAGCTTTAAGAAGCTTTATTTCTGGAATTTATTTATTATCATCGTCATTAAATTGAAGTTGGACAGATGACTTGATTAGGACTTGAAAATTCAAAAATAACAACTATGTCTACAACACTATAATACACTTATTTAAATAAGTTATCAGCAAAAAAATATTTTGATGTGACTTGCTCTTTAAGGACTTAGACTTGACTTGGACTTCCACATGACTGACTTTGGACTCGACTTGGACTTGGTTGTCTTTGATTTGGGCTTGACTTGAGACTTGACTGGAAAGACTTGTGACTTACTTGTGACTTGCAAAGCAGTGACTTGGTCACACCTTTGGCCTTAATATCACTTTATTTCACCTTTTCAGGGCTTAGTGATAGAGTGTCCGCCCTGGGAGTTTGAGGTTCAAATCCTGGTCGGGGCCATACCAAAGACTTAAAAAATGGGACCAATGTCTCCCTGCTTTAAGGGGTTGGTCAGAGGGGTTAAACCACCAAATAGTTCCCGAGCTCAGCCAGAGCTGCAGCTCACCGCTCCTCACAGGAATGGGTCAAATGCAGAGATAGATATCACCAGTGTGTGTTGACTAATGGGACTTTAACTTTATTTTAACCTTTTCTCTAATACAGAGGTTCCCAAATTGGAGGTCGGGACCCCCAAGCGGGTCCCCACAAAATTACAGGAGGTCCCCACAATTTTGTCTTTGCTGAGATTGTGAGGTTAGCAAGAATTTCTTTGTAAAAATTACATTTATAAACTCCCAATAACACACCCTACAGTATAACCGCAACTCCATATATCATTTATAACTGTGTGTCTGTGTAAAGATGGTAAATGATCACATTTAACGTGTGTACGCATGTAGGAGTTGGGGCTAGGGGTCCTAGCTTGGACATGAGCAAGGGGGTCCTCAAAAAAAAGAAATTGGGAACCCCTGCTCTAATAGAATGTATTCAACACATCACAGCACATTGGAGCCATTGCATCGTCACAATTAGCCCCAAAATGGCAAAAGCTGGACTTCCTCTGGCATATGAATGTGCCATTCTTGCAAAACCCCTCTGGAATGACCCCTCGGTCCATGGTTTAGTCCTTTGACTCCACACAACGATTGTTTTTAACACTGTTACATACGTACAATTTCAGTGTTGTTTTTAGCTAAATAAAAAGAGAAAAAGACTGTTGGAGCATTTCCTCCTCCTTGTTCTCCCTAATATTAATTCTCACAAGAGAAGAAAACAAAGATTAGGATTTCTTGTAACACTTCAAATTAAGAGTCCCCTTATTGACATTACTTATTGCATTATTAAGCATTAACAAACTATTAAATAAGTTATTAACAACTGCTTAATATTAAAGTAGTTAATACAGATGAAAATTACACGAGGCAGCCATGATAAACACAGACAAACGACTTTGGCATCAACTCTGGTTGTCTCAGGCCTTTAATTGAGTCAAGAGCGAATAGAGGTACTTAAAGGGACTTTTCGGACTTTTGAATTTTTATGCTCGCGATTGCCCCCTCAGGCCAAAAGCGTAAGGGCAGCTTCAATAGTAGGCTCGTGCACGAGGCGCGCATGCTGTACGTGCACACTCCTTAATAAAAATAACAGCTGAGACAGTCCCGTGTGTGTGTGTGTGTGTGTGTGTGTGTGTGTGTGTGTGTGTGTGTGTGTGTGTGTGTGTGTGTGTGGCCCAGAGGACATAATAACACAGCAAATTAGCAAAATAATGTGCCTCTGTCTCTGCAGCTGCACTTTCTCTTCGGCCGGTCGAACGTGCAGTGTGTGTGTGTGTGTGTGTGTGTGTGTGTGTGTGGCCCGGAGGACAGAGGACAGGAGAACACACAGCTAATTAATGAAATAATTTGGTTCTGTACCTTTTGGTTCTGTACAGGTCAGTCCTCCTGCATGCTCAGATCATTCCCTTCCCTTGCTTGAAAAATTGTTCCAAAATGAAAGTTGAACCCACATCTTTTTAATCCTTGAATTCAATGCCGTTCGGCGAGTCTCAAATAATAATTTGGGCATCTTACTATAAAAAAATATACCATTAATATAAAAAAAGAAACTCCAAATAAACTATGTTCACACCCGGAATCAAACCTGGGTCTTCAGCATGAGAGTCAGATATCTTACTAGGTGAGCTAAAGCACCAGTAACATTTGATGTATCTGTAACATTTTTATCCTTGATGACAGCTGAAACAACGTCAATCCAAAGAATGGTTCGAAGTGAAAATGGCTATTTTGTTGCTGATTTGCAGGAAATATCTAGAAGAAAGTTCTACAGAAATTAGCTAAGGGTCCTCAGAAATGTAGCTAGGTTCATCACTAGGCATTAGGAACAGCGACAAAGTCGCTGAGTTGGCACTGCCTCTTTCTCTGCTGCTAAAGCTACGGATAGCAAATGCTACGGGCTATGCCTGAGCGTGAACGCGCATGAAGCAGCCTGCTCGACCCGAGCAGCTCTCTTTTTCTGTGATTTTACAGAAAAACAGGCAATCACAGTAAAAATGCCAGGGCTCATTCTACAGGACCAGGGCATTGCAGGAGAACGTATGAAGAAGAAATGTATTATTTCTATACATGTTTTGACTGTCAAACTTCCTTATAGTCCCTTTAAGTTTATTTAGAAAAAATGTGTGAATCTTCGGCAACGGTGTACGGTGGACTGCCTCATTGACTGACATCCGTAGCGCTGAGTGTGTCACATTGTTTGTTATCCAGTAGCATGCAGAGACAGCTTGAAAGACAATGGTAGATCCCGCCCCATGACCTGGAGCAATCAATGGACTGGCCAGACTATATATTCATATACAGTACATACGATGGCTTGCCAGGCTAGCAAGCGATCATCAGTAATATTTATTGCTTTATTTATTTATGGCATTATTAATGTTTTCATGGCACTTTTGGCTCTCCGTACACTATTGTAGACAAAAAGCATGAAAATCTCGACCTTTTTAAATTAATGCATTTAATGCATTTATATTGCATTAAATTGGCGGTAAGGCGTTTCCTGTTTTCAGTGTTGCACTCCGTGTAGCTGTTTGGTGTTTGGGGCTCGCTAAAGCTGATTTAATTTCTCTGTACTTGGATATCTCTGAGTTATTGTAGCACAAAAGCATGCTAAAACACACATTTTCTGTTGTTCCACCTAGCTCTTAGGGAACCATTTGAGTTTGCACACAGTTTATTTGGTACTGAACAGTTTGCTCGTCCAGTTAGCTTAGCCTCAGCACAGCTTGGCTACTTCTGTCTCTGCTTCTCCGTCTCCTATCTCTTGCTCTCTGTGTCAGATGTTTAGTTACTCCTCTGCCTCCTTTAGTGATAATGGTACATGTAATAAATGTAGCATTTTTGTAGCTTTGGAGGCGAGGGTGTCGGAATTGGAGTCCCGGCTCCGCGCTGTTGAAAAGCCTGTAAACAGCCATAGCTACTTAGCTAGCGCGGGGCTAACTAGCTCAGAACAACCACGTAGCGACTCTCCAGTGGAACCCGAGCAGCCGGGACCTCAGGCCGGCTGGGTGACGGTACGCCATAGAACCCAGCCCGTGGGCCACCACCAACCCGTCCACGTTTCTAATAGATTTTCCCCGCTCAGTGACGCACCCACTGACAAGCCGACTCTGATCATTGGCAGCTCCATAGTCAGAAACGTGGCATTAAAGACTCCAGCAACCATAGTTAAATGTTTACCTGGGGCCAGAGCGGGCGACATTAAATCTTATCTGAAACTGCTGGCTAAGGATAAGCGTAAATACAGTAAGATTGTTATTCACGCTGGCGGTAACGACACCCGGTTACGCCAATCGGAGGTCACTAAAATTAATGTTGCTTCGGTGTGTAAGTTTGCCAAAACAATGTCGGACTCCGTAATTTTCTCTGGCCCCCTGCCTGATCGGACCAGTGACGACATATTTAGCCGCATGCTGTCCTTCAACCGCTGGCTGTCTAGGTGGTGTCCTGAAAACAACGTGGGCTACATTGATAATTGGAAAACTTTTTGGGGAAAACCTGGTCTGATGCGGAGAAGGCATCCATCCCTCTTTGGATGGTGCAGCTCTTCTTTCTAGGAACATGGCCAGTTTTATTAGTCCTCCATGACAACCCAGGGTCCAGACCAGGAAGCAGAGTCGTAGTTTAACCCACCCCTCTGCAGCTTCTGTACTGTTACCCACCCACTACCCATAGAGACAGTGTCCTGCCCACGGCCA